AGATGTTTAGGTTGGAAAAAGCCCTGTAAGATCATGGAGTCCAACTGTTAAGCCAGCGCTGCCGAGGTCACCCCAAGTGCCACATCCACAGGGATTTAAAATCCCTCCAGGGGTGGGGACTCCACCACCCACCCTGGGCAGCCCCTTCCAGTGCCTGACCACCCTTTCCATGGAGAAATTCCTCCTCATGGCCAGCCTGACCCTTCCTTGGCACAGCTTGAGGCCGTTCCCTCTTGTCCTGTCCTGTTTTCCCCTTAGGAAGGTGGCGAACGGGATTCAGGGAACTCAAGTTGTGGAAATGTTGCAGGTTGGAAAATAAGCAGTTTTAGGTGAAACCCTCAAAGTACAAAGACCACTTTCCACTCTCCATGGTTCAGAGAATCATAAAATCCCAGAATCCCAGGATCACTGAGGTTGGAAAAGCCCTCCCAGCCCATGGATCCACCCTGTGCCCGATGCCCACCTTGTCCCCCAGCCCAGAGCACTGAGTGCCATGGCCAGGCCTTCCTCGGGCACCTCCAGGGGTGGGGACTCCAAACCTCCCTGGGCAGCCCCTGCCAAGGCCTGACCACCCTTTCCATGAGGAAACTCCTCCTGATGTCCAGCCTGACCCTCCCCTGGCACAGCTGGATGCCGTTCCCTCTCCTTCTGTCCCTTGTTCCCTGGGAGCAGAGCCAGATTCCCCCCCAACCCCCCGGCTCCCCCCTCCTGTCAGGGACTTGCAGAGCCAGAAGGTCCCCCCGATCCCTCTTTTCTCCAGGTTGAGCCCCCCCAGCTCCCTCAGGAATTCTCCAGCCCCTTCCCAGCTCCCTTCCCTTCCCTGCACACGCTCCAGCCCCTCTGGAGGGGCCCAGAACTGCCCCCAGGATTCCAGGGGAGGCCTCCCCAGTGCCCAGCACAGGGATGGGCACTGCCCCGTGCCTGTGCCCAGACCTTCTTAGGCCCAGGTCTCCCCCTTTAGTGCCTGTACTACCCAATTTAGGCTGGGCCTCCCCGCGCTTGTCAGAGCCCAGCGATGGAGGGGACTTAGTCAGGAGCAAGAGCAGCAGCTCTGCCTCAGCTGGGGGACAGAGGCATGAAAAACAACCACGACACTAATTTCAGCCACCAGAGGCCTTTGGAAACGCTCAGCACCAGGGGCAGCATCCAGGCTGCTTCGTGTTTTTCCCTCCTTCCCCCTATCCCCGTTTTCACCTCTCCCATGGTGCCCGAGTGCCCTCAGAGGAGCTGCAGCAGCCCGAGGGGGGATTTGTCTGTGCAAAAAACACACATTTCACGCTGCAGCTCAGCAGAGGAAATGACAAACACCGAAGTCCAAGGCCCTAACAGTCCAATTTTCTCCCCTGATTGCCGCCGTGCCTGAGCTTAACAGAGTAAATAATGAACAGCGGTGCAACGAACTTCCCAATAAATCGCTGCTGATGGTTTTCACACGGGTCATCCAAGAGCAAATTTAATTATTACATGCTGGCTGCAGCCACTTCATTTTTTTAGTTTTTTCCCCCCCCCGCTCCTGGCCCACTTGTTAGATCCAATCAGCAAAGGAAAGAAGGGAAAATGAAGTAAAATGCCTCATTTCTGAGCACGTTTCCCCCCCGTTCGATGCGAAAGCTCGAACGTGATCTGCGGGGCACGGCTCGGATTGACAACGTGGTTTTGCCCTGTAATGAAAGAACGGGGTGAATACACCAGGGATGGGGGCCTGGAGAGCAATATTTGACTTCCCTGCACCTTCCTTTGGAGTTTCTCATCCCTCATGGATGTTGGAGCACAAAACCCCTCAGGGCAGAACCTCCCCTGCTCTGCCCACACACGGTGAGGCCACTTGGCCTCGCCCCAGGCTCCAGTTGCTACTGGGATAGGATTCCTGCGGGAATTTCAAGTGTGGTGGGATGAATCCTTGGGTAATAAATTCCTGAGATCCGAGCACGGGCAGCTTTGTGGCCTGCAGGGTCTGCAGGGATGGACAGGGCTTGTGTGCCCCAACGGGAATTAACCCCCAGGACTAAGGATTAGAGTACAAGTAGCCATTTGAGTGACTTTTCCACACCTCAGCTGAGTAAAATGATTCTCTTTTCACCCCAAAAATCTCCCTGCTCGTCTATGAGCAACAGAATCGACATTTGGGTGACTTCTCCAAGTCTCAGCTCCATCAAATGACCCTTTCCCTCACGAAAAAAAGCTTCCAGCTTGTCTGTGAGCTGTAGAAACGACATTCCTGCAATGCTAATTTCCTCTTGGCACCTCTCCCTGTCTGAGTGCCCTCCCCTTTACTGCCATCACCACATTCCAAATGGGATTTGCAATTACGACCCACGTGAATAAAATAAAACACAGCCAACAAAAGGCAGAAAGAGGCTCAGGAAACTGTTCCAGGTGGAGCTGTCTCTGAATGGAGGGCACAGGATGAGGTTGGGGGGATCCACACCATGATATCCCTGGAGGGCTTCTCCATCCATCCATCCCTCCATCCATCCCTCCCTCCCTCCATCCATCCATCCCTATCTATTCTATCTATCCATGCCAGTCAGGCAGGTTTATATCATCCTTAATCCAGAGGATATGGAGGGAGGAGACCCCCAGGAGAGGATGAGCTGGTGACTGACAATCATGAATCACAGCAATTTGCTTCACCTTCCACTTCTGCTGTTGTGTCTGGTGGAGGCTTCAAAACCACGGGATAACTAAAACCCCATAAAGATTATGAGGCTGTAAAGGGGAAATTGTGAAACCCTCATGAACTTTTACAGCCCCCCCCGAAAATATTCCGGTTTGTGGGGTGGAGGAGTGTTTCCTTGTCTCTTGAAGCACCAAAGGAGCACTTCCATGTCATAACTGCTCTCTGAGCCTTGGCACGGCGACAAGTGTTTCACATGGATTTACGACCCAAAATCTCCAGGACGTCCTGCAGGGTCATGTCAGGACAGCAAAAGCACTCCTAGGCAAGGACTCGTGCAGGGAACAGAATCATGGAATCATGGAATGGTTTGGGTTGGAAGGGACCTTAGAGACCATCTTGTTCCAACTCCCCTGCCATGGGTACCTTCCACCATCTGTGGTTGCTCCAAGCCCCATCCAACCTGGCCTTGGACACTCCCAGGGATCCAGGGGCAGCCACAGCCTCTCTGGGAATTCCATTCCAGCCCCTCTCCACCCTCCCAGCCAGGAATTCCTTCCCAATATCCCACCTAACCCTGCCCTCTGGCACTGGGAAGTCATTCCCTGTGTCCTGTCCCTCCAGGCCTTGTCCCCAGTCCCTCTCCAGCTCTCCTGGAGCCCCTTTAGGCCCTGCAAGGGGCTCTCAGCTCTCCTTGGAGCCTTCTCTTCTCCAGGTGAATATTCCCAGCTCTCCCAGCCTGGCTCCAGAGCANAGGCCCTGCAAGGGGCTCTCAGCTCTCCTTGGAGCCTTCTCTTCTCCCAGGTGAATATTCCCAGCTCTCCCAGCCTGGCTCCAGAGCAGAGGGGCTCCAGCCCTGGGAGCAGCTCCAGGGCCTCCTCTGGACTCTCTCCAGCAGCTCCACATCCTCCTGCTGTTGTTCCCAGAGCTGGAGGTAGAACCAGAAATGTTCTCTGTGGTTCTGTAGGAAGGTCCCACACTGAGGATTGGGTCCCTTCAGGACAGAAGTGGGGACAGAAGCTCAGATCCAAGACAAAGGGGGTTCTTGGGTCAGTGCAGAGTTTGCAACACCCTCATGTGGTTTGTTCCCTCTGGAAAACCATCCTCCACTGGGAATGTGTTCTAAATCCCCCATCTGTGTGACCGAGTTCCACAGGTTGGGATGGGGAAACAGTTCCCAGGCAACAAGGTGCTGAGGAAAGGAAAAGTAAATGCTGGCAGGGCAGTGGCAGAAAGTTTCCCAAGGGTTGGTGCTCTCAGGACACTTGTGCTTCTGTTCCACCCATAAGAACTGATAAATCCAGGACAGCCAGAGCCTGCCAAATGTGCCCAAGACCATGAGGGACATGAGGGACATCCATGAGACCCAAATGGGTGGTGGCTGCTGTGTGGAGGGAACAGGATCACACAGGCACCTGGGGGACACATTGTGCGCTCAGGGGACTTTCCAAACACCTCCTCAGACCCTCGGGTGTGTCAGCACCACCTTCTTCTTCAAGAAGGCCCCCAAGAGTGGCTCCAGATGGATGTTTGGGGGGGTGTGTGGACACTGGGAGCGGATCAGCAGCGGAGTGTCTGAGGAATTGTTTACTATTAACAGGAACAACTTGGCTCTGCCCACAGCAACACCTTCAGGAACAGGAATGTTCCCAAAATGTTCCCTCCCACCCCCACTCCCTCTCCTGTTAGATTTGAAACAAACACCGACACACAGCCCAGACCCTTTCCAAGGGAATTTTTTCCTCATAAAATAAATAAAACCCAGTCTGAATTAGGCCACAGCAGCTCAGTCTGAATTCAGGAGTAAAACCCAGTCTGAATTTAGGAGTAAAACCCAGTCTGACATGAGGCCACAGCAGCAGCTCAGTCTGTATTCAGGAGTAAAACCCAGTCTGAATTTAGGAATAAAACCCAGTTTGAATTAGGCTACAGCAGCTCAGTCTGAATTCAGGAGTAAAACCCAATCTGAATTTAGGAATAAAACCCAGTCTGACATGAGGCCACAGAAGCTCAGTCTGAATTCAGGAATAAAACCCAGATTGAATTCAGGAATAAAACTCAGTCTGAATTAGGCCACAGCAGCTCAGTCTGAATTTAGGAATAAAACCCAGTCTGCACTTAGGAATAAAACCCAGTCCAACATTAGGCCACAGCAGCTCAGTCTGAACTCAGGAATAAAAAATCTGACATGAGGCCACAGGAGCTCAGCCTGAATTCATGGATGTTGAGAAGCTTCTTGAGGACTGGACTGAATGATTTGTATCATTTCCACGCTGATGGAACCTTGGAGAACACCATGAATTCGGACCTGGAAAGGAACCTTTTAATCACCACAAACCCACAGTTGTTACAAAAAAAAAAAACCAGACAGAGCAGAAGAGCCTTTGAAGAGTCTTTAAACATCCTTTAATTTTGCAGTTTCAGGACACCCAAGTTACACAGCCCAGGGAGAACCTTTCTCAGCAAGTGAAACCCAGCTGGGTCAACAATTTATTTGCCAAATACAAGTGGAGTGCGACCTTATTTTTGAAGACTATGGTCAAGACAGGGCAGGAATGGTGACCTGAGTGTCCCTCAGCCCACAGAGCTTGGATCTGCCCTCCTGCCCTTGCTGATCATCAGTGCTGAGCCACATCACCCCGTGTGTCCTTCCAGAACATCAAATGACAATGACAAAACGCCTTTGGAGCTGGGCAGGCTCCAAAGATACACTGGGAACAAGAGAATTAAGCTCTGTTATTATCTTATGTTGGCGATTCTCTCCATTGCCCGGTGCCAGATGGCTCCAGGATAATGAAAAAGTACAAGTGGGAAACAAATGGTCCCGTGTTCCCTCCCACACTGAGAACTGGCTGAAGGATGTATCAGGTGAAGGAGTAAACAACGAGGTCTCTTTGCAGTGGGAACAGCACAAAACTTCATGTGGAGCTTCTCCACTTTTCACATGGAGAAAACTCTTGTGGAGAACTCGCTGCAGAGCTGAGCAGGCCTCAAAACAGGGCTCAAAACCATCAAGATCCCCACAGGACTGTGCTTGACTGTTATGGTGCTGTTTATTTAGCATGGTCTGAACTCCCTGACCCTCCCAGTGTGAGATCTTCTCTTTGCCCACCCCACCAGAGACAGCAGATTGTTTTTACACCCCAAAGCAGAGCAGAGCAGAGCAGAGCAAAGCCAACTATCCCACCCCAAACTCCACCAGGATTCCTGGTCCTGCCGTGGGAGAACGTGTGAAGAAGCATGATGATGAATACACATCAGAACCCCCCCAAAAACCAACCCCAACCCCAAATCCCAGGTGGCATTTCCCTCCCCACCAGCACACAGACAGAGGCCTGGACCTGCCACCTGCCAGTCCCGGCTCTCCCCTGGGTGTGAGGGGCAGGGCGGGTCACACCGTGGTGATCTTCTTGTCCTTGGTGGCCTGTTTGATGGCAGCCTGCTCACAGATGATCTCCTTGAGCCGCTGCAGCCTCATGTTCTGCGTGGTCTGGTCGCCCACGCCCGTCTGGCTGCGGTGCAGCAGGTTGAGGGCGTAGATGTATTCCAGCTCCGTGTACTTCACCCCCTGATCCACCACCAGGTTCAGCAGCTCGTCTGCCGTGTTGTAGAGCATCTCATAGTACTGCCTGCAAAGCAAGAGAAGGAGAAAACCGCCTCGGTAAATGCTCCAGACCTTTATTCCTGCGGAATCGCAGGATCGTGGAATCGGCCGGGTTGGAAAAGCCCTCTGAGATCATCCAGTCCAACTGTTGCTCCAACCTCGCTGTGGTTCCCAGCCCGTGGCACTGATGCCACATCCAGTCTCATCCCAAACACCTCCAGGGACGGTGACTCCACCCCTTCCCTGGGCAGCCCATTCCAATGGCTGAGCACTCTCCATGGAAAACATCCCTTCCTAAAAATAGCATCAACTCTTGCTTTTATTCAGCAGAGAAACATCAGGTTTCTGATGGAAACATCTTCCTATGGAACAGCATCATAGAATCCCAGGATGGTTTGGGTTGGAAGGGACTTTAAAGATCAATCAGTTCCAACCCCAACACCTTCCACTATCCCAGGTTGCTCCAACCTGGCCTTGGACACTTCCAGGGATCCAGGGGC